TATCAAAATTCTGGTGTTGCACATTAAAAAAAAGATAGCAAGCTTTTCAAAGACACAGAGGAAAAAGCAAATATTTTAAATCAACAGCGTCAGTCTGTATTTACTAATGAAAAAGATAACATGATCACAGACAAAGGTAGAAGCCCAAACCCTCAAATACAAACATAGAACTAAGCGTACGGTGACCTATAGTTGTTAATTTCTGTGTCATTTGGTCTCTTGTTGAGAGTTGTTTCATTGGCAATCATACCACATCTTCTTCTTTATATAACAATCAGTGAATTCGAAGCAGGCATCGCCAAAGTATTGTCAGACCTTAATCCACATAAATCTTGTGGACGAGTTAGCAGCAATGGCCGGTCCTTAAAGCACAAAAGGAACAAGTTTTATTTTAAAAGTCTCGAGAAACTGGAAAAACATCTAAGGATTGGAATCATGCAAATGTAGCCCCAGCTTTCAAGAAAGGAGAAAAATATAATTCCGTAGATAACAGGCCAATATCTTTAACCTGTATATGTTGGAAGCTCATAGAGTATATCATTACCAGTAGTATAATGTCTCACCAAGAAAAACATCATATAGTATAAGATCTTCAGCATGGTTTTAGAACATCACAAGGTATTGTGAAACATAACTTATCGATTTTATTCAAGAAGTGCCACACACCAACAAGGGTAACTCTCAAACTGACTTAATCACAATGCACATCGCTAAAGCGTTCGACAAAGATTCACATTGTCGCATCCTTTATAAGCTAACTACAATTGAATACAAAATGACACACTTAATTGGATTCAGGCATTTCAACATGACATAAAATAAACAGTCGTCATCAATGACATTTCTTTCTTCTCAGTACCCGTACCATCTAGTGTACTCAAGGAACAGTATTATTTTATTGAAATTTTATGTGACTGTCATACAAGTGAAAGGGATTAGCTAACTATAAAACCGGGTTTAATCCACCATTTTCTACATGAGGAAATGCCTGTACCAAGTCAGGAATATGACAGTTGTTTTCTATTCGTTTGATGTGTTTGAGCTTTTGATTTTGCCATTTGATAAGGGACTTTCCGATTTGAATTTTCCTCGGAGTTCGGTATTTTTGTTATTTTACTTTTCACGTCTAATATTGTTACTTATCTAAATGAATAACCTCCTGAATTTTCAGAACACAGTAAGCTTAGACTCTTTGCGGTTTTTGATTAATTTAAGAGTCAGCAGTACGAATGATGTCAGATTGGCTTATGGCATTCCACCCCAATAAATGTACCATTCTTATCATCTAACAAAAAAAATACTTACAGGAATATTAACATCCCTCATATTCTCGAATCAGTAACATCTGAAAAATATCTCGGCATCACCCTACAATCTAATCTTAAGTGGAAGACACATATAGACAATACAGTATCAAATGGGAATAAATCTATGGCAAGCCGTTCTCGTCAAAACTATGTTTAAATCATTTTTTCGATAAAATTACACACTGAGAATTAAAAAAAAACACACTGAGATTTAAGAACCTAAAATAACACAAATCGAAATTACACACTGAGATTTTAAAATTACAGACCGAGATTTAAAAAAATGAAAAACACGCACTGAGAATTTAAAATTACACACTGAGAATTTAAAAAGACACACTGAGATGAAATAAATTGAAAAAACACACACTGAGAATAGTTAATTACACAATGAGATTTCAAAAAATACACACTGAGATTAATATGCAAATTACTAATGAATATTCATGAGATGAAAAATTCAACAGATTAATATTTTGGTCTCCCGAACTCTTGTCATCATAATGAAATGCGGTTCCTACAACCAACATTCGTAATAAATTTCAAGACTTAACAACTTGTTTTGCTAACTCATATTCATAAGTTTGTTGCCTATAATTCAGATTATTACTAACAGTATATCGGGATTTTTTGCTTAAAACTGTTTAAGCATGGTCCCTTTTCAAAAGTCTTTCAACTGTTTCCCTGATATCGCACTTGTAATCTTTTATATTTTTGTTACGTTTATATGCTATAATAGGCACTTGGGAAAAAAAATCACTGCATTGTTTGTATTTTTGCAGATTGTTCCAATGTGTTCTTTTAATTTTAATAAAGTTTTTCACCATTTGGTTATATTTTGTAATGACAGTAAGTGGGTATTTTTCTTGTTCTATTGGTCTTTAATAGCGTAGTTTTTCTATCCGTTGTATTTTTAATGTTTTATATAAAACATTTAGCGCCAAATTGAAGGACTAACGAGTTCTGTCCCCAAGTTGTTTTAAGCTTGTAATAGATTCAAAAGTATGCTAATTAGATATATGCGCATAAAAAGTGCGCACAAATGTCAGTGTATAATTTTAAATTCTCAGTGTGTAGTTTCAAATTCTCAGTGTGTGTTTTTCAGTTTATTTCATCTCAGTGTGTCTTTTTGAAATCTCATTGTGTAATTTTCAATTCTTAGTGTGTAATTTTCAATTCTCAGTGTGTGTTTTTCATTTTTTGTAAATTCAGTGCGTTTTTATGAAATCTCAGTGTGTAATTTTTTATTCTCAGTGTGTGTTTTTATGTTTTTTAATCTCAGTGTGTTTTTTTTAAATTCTCCGTGTGTAAATTTTTCGAAAAATGGTTTAAACATAGTTTTGGCGAGAACGGCTTGCCATATAAATCACTTGGTTTTCTAAAACGAAATTAAAAATCTCAAACCCTGATATAAAATCCAGAGCATATAACTAGTACTACCCAAACTAGAATATAGTTGTAGTGTCTGGGACCCACATATGAAAGACCAACAGCTTAAACTTGAAACAGTACAAAGACGAGCGGCTCGCTACGTACACATCAACTACGAGTACACGAGCAGTGTCACAAACATGTTATACCAGTTGAAAAGGCCACCACTAGTTGAGAGATGATTAAATGCTCGACTTATTTAATTTTATAAATTGATACCCTGCCTTATAGCATTCCAACGCATGTTCTTGAATAAACCGACAATAGAACAAGACAAAACCATACTCGGATATACAGACACATCCAAACTTCCTATGAAACATTCAGATTGTCGTTCCTCACTTGCATAATCATACAATGGAACTTGCTCCCTCAGACTATCATTGAAACCACTTCTGTTGACAGCTTCAGATATCAGCTAATAACAGCTGTGTTTTCCTGTTTCAAATAACCACATTTAACCCAAAACATGAACATAAAAGATATTATTTTAATCACAATCTGTTTATTCAAACACTTACATGACTTAAATTGTTATTAAGTTATAATTACTAATTTGTTTAAATTTTCGCCAATCACGCACACACAACAATATGTAGTCTTCAGTATTTAAGCCTTGTTGACACAAAGAAGAAGAAGAAAGAGATGAAGAAGACACGAATTTAAAACAATTTGGGAAGAAATTAAAAAGAAAATTTCATCTGCTATCAACACCAAATGTTGAACTTCTACAATCTAGACATTACCATTGGTGGCCTTGGGCTGTTTTCTGCGTTTTGGTCGGGTGGTTGTCTCTTTTACACATTCCCCGTTGACTTGGGACAGGCACAGGATCATGTGTCAGATATAAATTAGTTTTTATTCGATCTTGATCATTCCCTTTTTATTATGCAAACGAGAAGGATAAAAAATACTTGATAAAAGTTAACTTTCCTTGTACTATAAAAGGTAATTTTTAATTATGATATGACAACACGGTAAATTTAAATTCTTGCAGACGTTTAATTGTTTTCTGTTAAAGAAAGGCATCTTAAAGACACAAGTTGTTCAATATATTTTTGTTTATGTAATAAACTCTGAATATGTTCAATTATAACTGTAGGATTGAGCACAATGCGTTAAGTGGCAAATATTTCAATCATATTTAGGACGGACAAAGTTTAGATTTATGATTACTGTACATATATTATACAAGAAGCCATAATGATTTGATGTAATATTTTAGTTTCATACAAGTTTTAGAAAAATGATTGATTTAATTATACAATTAGATACACTACCAACATATTACATAGCTTGCATATATTGTAATCCAACAACTACCGGTACTGTAATGGTTCAGTGTTATTCAGCAGAGAAAATTGAATGAGATTAATAGTTTTAAATCCTATCAAAATACATTAAGTCTGTAACCACTGTAATCACTCTGTTTTTCATGATGACAGAATGGCAATTCTTATTTTTTCAATCGTGCCATTGATACTCAAATATTCTAATTCAACAAAAATTTACTTAATTTTCAAGACAGAATAAACTAAAATGCATTTTCCTTAACTGAAAATTTAATAGTGTATAACCCTGTTTGTAGTTTCTACATTAATTTTAATTGTTCTTTTCTTTCCATTATTCATAACTGCATATGTACCATTAACAGTTTTGCAACCAAATGTAAGGCAAATATATTCTGTGCATATTAAGAAAAATGCATCTAAATGTATAACACTGTGTCCAAGCTACCCCGGCAAAAAATGTTTCTACTCCTCCATTTTTTATTGTGATATAACATTTTCTACAACTGTTCTAGATTAAAGGAGCAATAAGTCAAAAGCACGGCGAAATGATGATCTAGAGGCTAGGATGAAATTTGAAAAAAAAGGCAGGACAAGAGTTTTGAGTAAAAAAAAGGCAGGATGAGTAACTTGGCAAAAAAAGGCAGGATGACAATTTATGTTATAAAATAGTCAGGATAAACTAATAAAAAAAAAGGCAGGACCGAATAGAATGAAAAATAAAAATGCAGGACAGAGATTACAACCAAAAAAAAAATGCAGGACAAAATGTTTCATCCTAGCCCAATAAAAATCAAATGGTAGCTCCCTTACGATGTACCTGTTCTATTATATTACATAATGTACCAGACTGAGTGAAGACCATGTGGATCATATGCAATGAAAGAACTATAAATCCAGATATTTGTGCCGTTATTTCACTATATTCACTTTTGAACACGGATATATAAAATGGCACAGGTTGGTCGGAAAATATAAAGCACTTAACAAGTTAAAGTCTTTTCAAAATGATTAAATTGTCATCATATACGAGTGAATATGGGTAGTTCATCAAGTTTGACATTATAATTACGCAAATATTGAGGGCCATTAATAACCCGTCCGTCTAATAACGCCCTCCATCTGCCTAGAGGTAAATATATATCTCTTGAACTTGCCCCCTTGTCTAACACAGGTGCTACAAGTGTGTTATTTCCAAGCAAAAATTCGGAGTCAATTGTTTGGCACTCTTTATCTAACGGGGCTATCCACCATAACGGGCGAATAATAGGAGCACCGGTCTGAACAGATTCTTCCGCCAGTTCAATTATAAGATCGGAATATTCTTCGTGCAACTTCACAAATTTTCGGGATATATTGACAACTTCATCGTCGTACTGCCATGGTACAATAGAAAACTGCATGGCCGGAAGTAGTGCAGTAGCCTCTAACCACCTAATAAATAACTCACGGTCTGGCTTATTTCCTTCATATGCATTTCCTCCTATCATATCAGGCAATACGAATGGATATCCAAGTAAGCCGAATGCCAATGCAGTATTGATCAGCGTTTTTAATCCATTTTTATTTTCCCAGTTCGAATTTTTATCAAGCATGCGTACAAATACTGGTAAATGTTGTGTGCTGACACCAACTCGAACTTCTTGATGGCGAACACCAGTATCAGAGGCATATGCTAACTCGGCCCATTTAGTTGGATAGAAATTCGGACTGTCATATGTGGTTTCGAAAATATTTGGCAGCCAGTTTGTTTCGCCTGCATCAAATTTGAACGAACTTAAATTGTATGTTTTCTGTAAAAATTGTAATTTATCAATAAACCACTGCACTGCATCATTATTTGAAACATCTAAAATCCCCGCTGCATTCCCATCCCACCATGAAACAAGAGCCGGCAGTAATGAATCATATTGTCTTACCAGAAAGAATTTAGATGCTGCTTCTTGAAATGTTAATGAATCAATATTGAAGAATGGATGGACCCAAATAGTTACTCTAAATCCCATAGCATTTAGTTGTTTAACCATTTCAGTTGCATTAGGAAATTTGTTGACATTAAAAACCATATCACCATATTTCGGAGTCCAGTCATCATCTATTTCTACTTGTGAATGCGAAAAATTATAATTTAGAATATTTGAAGCAAACTCCATCACAGTTGTTTGATTTATATCTTTATGGTACTGGGCCCATGTTGACCAAATCGGATACTTAAATAATTTTCTATCTGGTATATCTGATGGTTTAGAAAATGAAGCCGACATGAAATCATGAATCTTTCGAACGTTATCGGCGACACAAATTTTGTAAGACAAGTGAGGATAACCCCCTTTAATGTTTGTATATGGATACTTTTCATATTTAGCCATTAGGCAGATTTTCTTATCAAACGTTTGGTTGATACTAATATAAAGCGGAACATCGCTACTAATGTTTATCCCTATTCCGTGTGTATTGATGAAATAACGTTCCTGTACACCACCAATACGCTTGGCGTATGAATCATTAGCAACGAAAGCTGAGAGATTCAATGACGTCTGTTCCATGGGCCAGAACTGGTTCCAGTCCTCGTAGCCACCATACCAGTGCGCACCATCTAAATCGAAACAATCTAATAGTATTTGATCAGAGCAAGAATACGTCCTCCAATATACATCATAGCACTCTGCAGATGCATATTTATTATAAGATATATGTAAATCTTTCGTACCACTCCAATCTAGACAAAGTGCATTACTGCTACTTCCGCAGTCAGTCGCAACTATTTTGGTACTTCCGGTATTTGATAATTGTCCGGATAGACGAACATCTGTATCTGAATTTTTTATTTTCAAATTCCAGTAATATTTTTCTAAATGTAAATTTCCAACTACGTACTCGTCTGTAATTTGAGGCTCCTCATTATTATGTCGTCCTGCTTGCCAGGCAATTATTCCTACAATCACACTGAGCAATATCAATGAAAGTAAGACGAAACCAACTTTCATTCTTCCATTAATTTTTTGTCCGGACATAAAAACTCCTGAAATGTTTTAATGATATGTTATTTCCACAATTAAATTGACAAAAATATGTAAATCTTAATGAATAAGAGGACGATACATGTCTAAATTTCGGGGGGAGGGGGGGGGGGGGGATTTATAAACAGTTAATCTACTCTTCTTATAGTAGAAGTTGCAAGGACGAAAGCTTTAACTGACTTCGCTTGTGTCCTATTTTAGCTTAGAATTACTGAAAATTATTTAAAACCGCAAGGGTTGACAGGGGAAAAAAGATGGGACTTTAAAACCATTGCTACTTGGGGCGCCTGTTTGTATGTGCGGGATGTATCAATACGCAGCCACTTCCAATTGCAATGGGGATGTTACTTTTGTTTTTAATGCTAAATATCTACCCTATCAAACATACCCTCATTTTCCAATGGCAGTTCAAATTTCGCTCCCTTCGGCATATCTTGCAGAACCGGCTACATATTGTATTATTTTATTTTGAATTATTCTCGTCGTGAATATGCATGAAATATTTGCTCTACACGTTCAGCAAGCAACAAGCAATCAATCAATTATTTATGCACTACCTTGCACAAAATAAAACAAAAATCATTTCCATTTGTTTTAATAGCAACTGCATGATTTATGGTTGAAATTATCTGGATCAATGTTTGCATTTCATATATTATAGATCACATTACATGTATTGATTTCTTTTTTTAGAATAAATCAGATTGTATTTCTTGTTTGTGGAACATGTATAGGATAAATAATTACTATGGTTGAGGTTTTTTATTCAAGAATAAGTTCAGAAAGGTAAAACGACACTTGTCCGGTTTTTTTTCTAGACTTGTGTTCATTAAAAAAGGGTTGTGTTGTTTTAAATTTTAATGTGTGTATACAAAATGCCATATTTTGGAGTCTACATATTTGCTCCCTCAATATAATAGTGATGGTGAATGAATACTCGTAGATCAGTTAAGCTGGTTAAGCTGGATGCGGGTGATCCGGTACAAACTGTACAAATGTTGTTCTTTTTTTATGTAAAATGTTCAAGTTGTTTCAAAAAGATTTTTATAAAGTGCGTTTAGATTGGTTGGTGTTTAACGCCACTTTCAGCACTGTTGGCTATTTTGAGGAGGTCAGTTTTTATTGGTCGGGAAAACCGGAGTGCCCAGAGAGAAACACCTATCTTCGACTGGAAATTGTGCGTATAGTTGAACCGTAAAGACAACACTTATTTTGAACTATAATCTGTAGTAAAAATCAAACTTGTCACCAAAGAATACTGTAAATTCAGAAACTATTGCGATGTTTTTATTATTGCGAAAAATGCGACAGGGTTATAATCGCAATAATTTAAACTCGCATTTTGAAATTTTTGATATGAATTAAACAGGATTTTTCTCAATATCGCAAAAATTAAAATCGCATTTTAGTCTAAAATGACAAAATCGCAATAATAAATGCACGCAATAATTTCTGAATTTACAGTACTAAATTATTTATAGAAAACATGACAATCGAGGTATTCGATTCAAACTCGTTGTTGTTTTATCAATATTTATTTAACTTTTATATTGCTTTTATGTTGTTTTTTTTTCTGTATTAGTATGATTCCTTTTTGTACCTTTTTGATCGTCATAGGCTTTGGTGTCCTTCGGCTATTTCTGCTGATTGGTTAATTATTGCCTCTTTGACACATTCCCCGTGTCCATTCTCAATTTTATTTGACCAAAGGTGATAGGTGTTGGGAGGGAGCCGTATTTTCTGATATTGATAAATGTATGTACGCATGACAGTCATTGTACATGTTATCATAAAAAAAAGTAAAATAATAAAAATTCCGAACTCCAAAGAAAATTCAAAACGGAAAGTCCCTTATCAAATGGCAAAATCAAAAGCTCAAACACATCAAACGAATGGAAAACAACTGTCATATTCCTGACTTAGTACAGGCATTTCCTTATGTAGAAAATGGTGGATTAAACCTGGTTTTACAGCTAGCTAAACCTCTCGCTTGAATGACAGTCGCATAAAATTCCGTTATATTGACAACAATGTGTGAACAAAACAAACAGACATAATAGGTAAAAATGTAAAAAATAGGGGTACAGCAGTCAACATTGTGTTATAATCTCAATCACTATAAAAACAAACAAATATGTAAACAAAGAAAAACAAAATGTCATATACACAAAGCACATAAGCAAACAAAGGGAGAGTACCAATCAGCCTATTTTTGATATTGATACATGTACGTGTGTACATATTATTATATTACTATTGCATTGCTTGTCATGAACATTGTGATTTTGTTAATGGTTTCGTCCGTTGCAAGATCGAAGCTAGTCAGATTTTTTGGCACAAGTTCGAAATCGAAATAGTTTATGACCTTCCGTGGTTTGTATCCAATTCATATTGTTCAATTCGGTTCTAAAAATTTTGTCAAAATATGGTCTACCCATAGAGAACCATATAAAAGACTCAAATGAATTAAGACAGCGATTGGGCAATTTTGAATGATATTCCCAAATGAACAGTTAACTTATAATAGAATAAAATAATTTCACTACCATGCAATGATAATTTGTTTATATTCATATGCTCGTTATACTGAACTATTAGTAATCAATTTTAAAGAAAAAAGAAATAAAACTTACCTCTTTAACTATTTCGATAAAACAATTCTTTGTATGGGATAACCAAGGTCGTCCCTATATTTTGCGAACGATTAATGTTATCATGAAAAGGTAAATCTTATTGTACAAGTATCAAATGTCTTGAAAGAGATTGTAATTTATAACAAATAAATTGTTGAACTGCGATAAAAAATGCAAATAAGGTGAAGAAACTGTTATCAACACTTGAACGTACTTACTAGATAAAACTGTTCCCTATATATGTATATTGTGTATTTAAAGTACACAACGGCACAAGTAAACATAAATGGATCTTAAACTTTACAGGAGCTTCAAACAATTTAAAAAAATTAAAGCATGTTTGCTTAGTGATATGATAAATGTATACTATAAAATTGGTGAATCTGGTAACATTTTTTATGCGGAACCAGGTCTCCGTCTGTCCATCCGTCCGGCCGAAAGAAAACTTTCGTCAAACTTTTCTTTGCTTCTATGAAAGGGAATGAAATAATATTTAGTCTGCAGTTTAATAATATTAAGTTGTAGCAAGTGGGCATTTTTTTACATCTACCATGTATTCACTTCCTGTTTGTCGATAATTTGAAATTTTACAACACTCATTGTACAAGGACAATTGTCGTCAAAGTTTTTTTTGCATCAGTGAAAGGGAATTTTTAGTTATGCTATTACCTCAATCGATTGCATGCAGGGACGCAAGGCCATCCCCGGTATTGGTCTAGTTTTAAAAACAATTATACCACTTATTCTATCTTGATGCAGATCTGTATCGGCTTTTATACACGATGGAGAAGAGCGCCGTTGTTATGGGCGGTGTTCTTGTAGAGCGGTCTTGAATGCTTCTACAGAATATGCATGCACAACTTTATCTGTCAGTTGGTTCCAGTGTATGGTTGTTTCCACAAAGAATGAATATTTATATTGTGGCTTATTGCTGTCTGGCACTTTAAGCCCTCTGGTGTTGTCTATTATTTGTCGTTCAATAATATTGTCTGTTTCATAATTTGAATACATTTTGGCTTTGATTGGTCTTTTCGGTCTTCCTGGTGTGACAAAATTGTCGGCTGAGCAGAGCCGGCACTAGACCCCCAACTACCTTGTATATCAGGATCAGGCTGAGGCTGTGTCTTCTTTCCTCTAGCGTCTCAATTTCAAGCTGGGGTCTCATGTTGGTGATGGACCCCGTCTCTCGACTCCTGTAGTTTTTCTTAACGAATTGTATGCCTCTGTTTTGGATACGTTCCAATTTGTCTATATCCCTTTTCATATATGGGTTCCAGATGGTTGCGCCATATTTCATTGTAGATCTTACTAGGGATATGTATGCTGCTTTTCTACATGCTTCTGGTACGTTTCTCAAGTTCCTTCTAAGAAAGCCCAAGGTGGCGTTGGCTTTCTTGCTGATGTTGTTTATGTGGATACTCCATTTCAGGTCATTTGATATTTGGAGTCCTAAATATGGGTTCACTTGTACTTCTTGTAGGATGTGTTTATTAAGCGTGTAGAATTTGTCTTGTTTTTTTATTGATGGATAAGACATAGCATTTTTTCGCGTTGAATCGTATTCACCATTTGTCGGCCCAAATTTCAAGTTGATCTAAATTTGATTGAAATTTGTTTTGGTCAGTTTTAATTGTTCTGTACAATAGGCAATCGTCTGCAAAAAGTCTTACTGATGATGTTACACTGTCTGGCAGGTCGTTTATGTGGCACATAAACAGGATGGGTCCTAAGACGGTTCACTGGTGTACCCAAGAGTAAACTGTTGTTTCGCCGGATATTTCCCCTTCCACGATGGTGCGCATTGATCTGGCAGTTAGGAAGTTTGATAGCCATTTGTGTGTATTTCCTTTAATTCTATATTGGTCTATTTTGTGAAGTTATTTGTTGTGTGGTACTGTATCAAATGCTTTGGAGAAGTCTAATATGGCTACGTCGATTTGATGTCCCTTGTCATGCTCTTGTAGGAAGTCATTGATGGTAGTGATGAGTTGGGTTTCGCACGAGTATCCTGACCTGAATCCATGATGGTTTAAGTTGGTTAGGATCTTGTTTTTTTCCAGATGTTTTAGGATGTGCCTGCATATGATGTGTTCTAAAATTTTGCTGGTGATAGATGTTAAGGATACAGATCTATAGTTTTCTGCGAGGTGTTTGCCTACTTTTTTAAAGATACTAGATATATTTGCATTCCTGGATATTTTTTTTAATTAAGTAAACAATTTTTAAATCAAAATTATTCTTGCTCAAATTTTTTTTTAACTGGCAAACTTCACGTCAGTATCAAACGTTTGTATTTTGACCGTTCAAAATGTCTAATCCTTATTCAATCATTACAACACAAAATGTTTTTGAAATATTTTTGTGTTGGTTTTGAAAATCTTTTTATTATTTACTTACCAATAAGAATACGAAACAAACACACCTAAGGCCTTTCCTAAAAAAACATTCATTATTGTATGTTAACTTTATAACAGCTAGTGGGAAATATTATACGTGCTTTCAGGACATAACAGGTTAATACTTGAAAAATTATTGGTCTCTATTACTTATCAACAAGTTTTAAATGCAAGTCTTTCCTGTTTGTCAAGCCTGTGACATTTTGTCACGGAAGCGATACATGGCGGTCCTACAATCCGTCGTCAATATTAAGGTTCAGTCAGTGGTTAAGGTTTTTGTAGACATTATTATCTTTGTCAAAACTTTAAGGCATGTTTTGAATATTGAACAGAAGCTTTTTCATGATCCAGAGAAAAATCATAAACTTTTTTTTTTCATTTCCCCGTTTTTTACTGAAAAGG